GTGGTTTGTATAATTTCTTTTGTATTTTCTTGGTTTCTTTTGTTTTTTGTGACTCTGTTGTATGCTTTTGACTTGTGGTTATTCCAGTTGCTTCCCTGGGCATCAGGGATTGTCACATGGGGTTTAAAGACTGTCACTCAGATGAGGACACCTGGTGAGAGAAGGGAGAGTTTTGTTTTTAAATATTGCATATCTAAATATGTCTTTATTCTGGTCTCACATTTGATAGCTATTTTGGCTGGGTATAGAATTCAAAGTTAACAATTATACTTCTGAAACATCTGAAGGGGGTGCTTTTGTCTTCTACTTCCCAATACTGTTGCCAAGAAGCCTGATGACGCCCTTCTGAATCAAAGTCACCTTCTAATTATTTATCCCCTGAAACCTTGTGGGATCTTCTCTTTATCCTCAGTGTTGTGAATATACCTTGATTTGGGTCTTTTATTCAGAATTGTGCTGGGATCTTCATTGTCCTCAGTTCTGAGACACTTTTTTTTCCCCCTTATGATTCTTCTTTGGTAAGAAACTGTGGTTTTGATTCTCTCCTTAACACCTCATTATCCCTATGCCCCAGATTTTCTGATCTTTGTATTTGGAAAAGACTTCTGAGTTGACCTTATGGTTTCCCTCTTACTGTCCATCATTTTATCTTTCTGGTCTACATTCTGAAAGATTTCCTTGATTTTACCTACCAACTCTAACATTGAATTTTCTTATTTTGGCAAGCTTATTTCTAATCAGCAAAGGCTCATCTCTGTTCTTGGTTAGGCCTTTTAATGCCAGTCTATCCTTGAACTTCAGATGCAGTGTCTTCTGTTTCTCTGAGATGATTACATGTTTACTTTCTTGTATTATTACCTGTTTCTTTAAAGCTCCTTTCTGTCGGTTCCCTTTCTCACTCTTAGCCGTCACTGTGGCTGGTGGTGTCTCCATGTCTGGAATCCCTCTGCCTCAGTTTCGGTGTCTAACCCAGTCCTTCCCACCAGAATCCTAAAGAGAAATAAGGCCTGAAGCCTTTCTGTTGTGCGGTGTGAATTAATCTTCAGTCCATGTAGAATGGCATTAGCTCTGCACCATCCTTGGGAGAACTGAGAAAATGATCACTTCATTCATTTTCTGTAGGGCTTAATTCTTTCATGGAGAACTGGTCAGGAAAGGCTACTTGAGAAATAGCCTCCCTTTGTGGCTGGAGGTGGGCTAGCAACCCAGCTCTGAGGGGTGAGCATGTGTTTGATCTGCTGTAATTACCTCTATGAGTTTTAAAACAGAACTAAGTGGCTCAAAATGCAGTCGCTGATTTTGCTTGGTCGTAAGTTGGTAGCGTTGGAACCTGGGCCATTGCATGTACCATGCAGACTGGGGAGGTGGGTGGGGTCTGGCTTTTGAGGGTGGTATCCCTGCGCGTCCTGGCTATTTTTAGATGCCTTGTAGGCCTTCAGGCAGGGCTTCCTGGAAGGCTGGTTCCAGGAATGCATTCATAGGAGGAGAAGGGGGCAGCTTCCTGTCTCTGCCACAGCGCCATCCCAGGAGGGCAGGGAAATGTGAGTCAGGAGTTTCCTCCAGTGGAAATTCCCTCGGTTGGTAATCTTGTGGCTGTGACCAGAGACCTGGGGCCTTGGCTCCTTGGGGCCAGGGCTGCAGAGGTGGCCGGAGCTCCCTGACCTCTGCCTGGGTCACGTGGCGTCTGCACCGGGCAGGCCCTCAGCTTGTACAAGGTGACCCTGAGACTCGCTTGTTTGAGAGAATGTGGGGTCATCGGAGGCAGCAGATCCCCTTCAGTAATTTGCGATACCTCGGTGGCATCACCATGTCGGGAAATCAAGGCGCCTGGTGCTAGAGCCAGGAGCAGTGCTGATGGGGAAGAGAGGCTGAGGAGCCCCCCTCCGGGGCAGGGGGTCCGAGCCTGCGCTGGCGTCTTCCCGTGGAGCCCGAGGCTGAGCTTCGTGTCCGAGGGTTTTAACCCTGTGTTATTTCTGTCCACTTCCCAAACGCTCAGCGGAGGAGCCTGCCGAAGCGCCCCTGCCTCCGTCGTCGGGAGGGCAGGCCCCGCGGAAGCCGCCCACCGAGCCGCCGCCTCCGGAGCCCACCCCGCGGCCGCCACTGCCCGACGACCCCGGAC